CTGTTCCCAAGCTCTTCGAAAAGCTTCTTAAGCTTTTCACTCAATTCAGTTAAAAGTCCTTCCTTTTTTTCTAGTTGATGTTCGACTAACTTCTATCTGAATTCTTTAGTAAATCTTTTATCTCTTGTCGCCGGGTCTTGTAGTTTTATGTTAGAGAAATTCGGCAGTAAATCTTCTTTTAAGCACAGACCGTTAAATGTTATTGCACTTTCACATTTCGAAAGCTTGCTCTGAGTTTTTATTATTTTGTTGACAGTCTTTCTGATATTTGTTGTGAGTTCAGGTAATAATTCATTAAAACTCATGAAAGTTAAAGCTTTATGTCCAACGCGTTTCAAGTGTATTTAACACTCATTTTCAAGGACTATGTATACAGTGACTCGAGGGGTTGCAGAATTGATCAGCAAAATATTTGAAAAACAATATTCTAAATCACGAGTACAAATCGTTCATCACACTTACACTAGACGCGACTAATTACACAAGGCACATGGTTTACATGCATTTTGCGCGAAAGTTCACTCACATTGCTAATTGCCGAGCCAGTGATATTTGACTCAGCCGTCTATGATAACACATAGCCGTCTATGTTTAGGGGAAGTGTGGTTTGGTGCCCCAGAGTGCCAGTTTCTCCAGTCGAGCGTTCTTTTGCTCGTTGATGCTGGGGGCGTGATCCCTGATGTGTACGGCTTCGATGATCTCGATGCGTCTGGGGTCACGGTTCGTGTGGATGATTGTTGTGTTTTCTACTAGGCGTTGCCGTGTGAGTGTTGTGTTGTGTTTATCTCTCATGTGTGTCTTGATCGTTCCTGTTTGTTTGTGCATAGTGAGTCGTCTGGAAAGAGTGGTGCATGTGTAGCCAACGTAGTTGTTGCTTTGAAGTCTACAACCTTCAAAAGGGCAGTCATATTGGTAAACTACGTTGGTGCGCATCAGCCACTTTGTTTCTGACGGGTTATTTCGCATGACGAGATGTTTTGGTTTGGTGCTTTGGTAGTATATGGAGTCTCAGGTCATCTGAATCATTTTTGCATTTGACGTTCTTTTTGATGATGTGATTAATGGTACGTTCGTCGGTGCGGTGTTCAGTACTCATGAAGTTGCGATAGTACAGGTGGTGCGTAACCTTTTTTGTTGAGTCAGGTGGGCTCCTATCACCGTAAAGCTGGTCGAGCTGACGCCTCACCTCTAAATCGATATCTCGATTACAATAGCCGTTGTTGACAAGGAGTTGCCTGCAACGCACGAACTCCTCATGCATCGCATTGTTCGTAGAACTTGCTCGGATGGCCCTTTTGATAAATGCACGAATGACACTCGTTTTGTATCGAGACGGGCACTTACTGTTCGCATTTAGAGTTAAGCCAGCGTTTGTTGGCTTACGGTAGACACTAGTGTGGAACTGGTTTTCTCCTTTTTCTACTATAATGTCTAGGAATGGTATCACATTGTCACGGCTCAATTCAAAAGTAAACTTCAAGACACTCTTGGCTTCAAATTCATTGATCTGTCTAGATAGATGGTTGGCGTCTTCTATATCGACGAAGCAGTCGTCTACATACCTGATGTATGTGCTGGGAGCGATCGATGCGTCACTCAGGACACTGTTCTCTACATGAGACATGTAGAAATTGGCAAATAGGGGTCCCAGTGGCGACCCCATTGCCATACCTTCGATTTGCAGATATAACTGGCCATCTGGTCCCCTAAACGGCGCATCTTTTGTGCAGGCTTGTAGGAGCTGTTTGAGGATATGTGGGGACAAGTTGAGGCTTGGAAGGTCATTCGAACGTTTTTGATATACCTCATTCAGAATGATTTCGATAGTTTCGTCGATCGGGACATTCGTGAAAAGGGATTCGACGTCGATAGATGCTAGGAGTCCGCAAGTTTTTTTTGCTCTTAAGATGTCAAGGAACTCGTCTACAGAGTTGATAGAGTGCTTGCCTGGTACGAAGGGCTTTAGAAGTCCGTTGAGTCGTTTGGCTAGCTTGTAGGTTGCTGTGTTTACTTGAGAGATGATGGGTCTTAATGGGTTTCCCTCCTTATGGTTTTTTACAGTCCCATAGGCATAACCAGGACTAAATTCACCAACTATAGTCTGGAAGTGTATACCTCCCTGAAGAGCGTTAGCACTCTTTATCAGACGGTTTACTTTTGCTTTCAGTTTCTTGCTTGGATCATCTTTTATCTTCTTGAACTTGCTTTCATCTGACAGAATTGAATTTAGTTTGCTTAGATACTCACTTCTGTCGAGGATAACAAAGGTCGGCGATTTATCAGCTCTTCTAATGATAATATCCTGGTTCTCCTTTAGCTGTTTTGCGGCTTCTCGAAGTTCTTTTGTCAAAAGTTTTGAGGTAGATTTTCCTCTAAGTTTATTACCTTCTCCTATTAGTTCACCTTTGAGATATCCCTTGATTTGAACTTTTTCGTCCTTTTCTGGCTGTAATATATCTTGATATAATATCTCAAGTTCGAGTTAACGAAGTTAAATGTGCAATAACATTTAACGGTCTGTGCTTAAAAGAAGATTTACTGCCGAATTTCTCTAACATATATATATATATATATATATATATATATATATATATATATATATATATATATATATATATATATATATATATATATATATATATATATATATATATATATATATATATATATATATATATATATATATATTGTTCGAATGAGTTTCTTGGTTTCAGAAGGTAAGTTAAAAATTAATTATCCACAGTTGCTCATCAATGTCAAGTTAATTGGTTACAAGTGACGTTTCGGTTTATTCCATTAAACCATTTTCAAACATAACACATTCACGTATGACAAGTGTAAACATTTTCATCGGGCATCATTTGAGAAATATGTTAAATGCAAATTATCACGTGAGTTTTGGCAGGGTCTTGCTACGGTAGTTGCGTCCCACATAAAGTACACTTCACATCTATATTACTATTTGTGGTGACGTAGTTTCTGTCTATAACCGAGGTCGCGACATGGTGCTACGTAGCGCGGGTTACAGGTCACACCGTTGCACCTACCGCGCTGAAGTTTGCGCAACTCATAGAACAAGGATGGACAACGTGCCTTTGATGGGTCTCAGCTCGATCGGATCGATAGCGAGCGCGTGGCGCGTGCCCAAAAAGTGCAAATTCGCGTCATAGACTTTACATGTATTAATCGGCTGGCAAAAACGGGCGAAAATGGCTAAATTTGCCCGACACGGGTCCGGTTCCCGTGCAATATCTCGGTAACCGTGCGCCCGATCGTCACGGGGAAAACAGCACCGTGTAGAGAATCGAACGGGCTATCGCATGGTGTGCGGTGCAGGGGATGGCACGCACCACGTGCACCAGTGAGGGCGCTTTTGTTTAAAAAATTGACGTTTCGGACGGATTTTGGATTTTATTTTATTTTCACGTGACCGTCAGAATGACTGAGTCAAAACAACGCCTATTCGCAGGAGAAATGTACCGCCTCTCATGATAAAATTGTGAAAAGCTAATTGATCAAAAACAAGGTGGAACAAATCGCTGGAGAAAATGGTATTTGTCCATAATGTGCCACTTAATAATTACACGGGGTTTGCTGCTAAGCCTGATACGGTTGACAATTGAAAATGCTATCATTAGAAACAGCATTCAATTCTCTCCAAGATCCAATCATCACGTTTGCATGACAAGCAACGGTATTCTTAAAAATATAAATGTTTCAAACCTCTGCAAATCCATTTTTAGCGAAAATTATCTACGCCTTTCATTTGTCATAAAACTACGCACCTGAATTATAAAACACATTTGACAGGTTCACTGAACTATTGACAGGTTCTGAAGTAGAAAGCATGCTTATCAGACACGGGCACCTCGATCCGATGGATATTTTTTCCAACCAAAACGTTTAGCCATCAAAAAGCAATCGACCGAAATGGATAGATAACCCAGCCGACACAAGAACAACCAAATACCCGCCGATCGAAAATACCCCTTTTCGCGTTGCGGAGCACGCGGGTCACCCTAGTTCATCGACTAAATCAGGTCGATCAAAAGAATGTTACATCAGGCGAATACAAGCTGTCACGACATGAGTACATCTTCCTCACTACATGTAAACGTCTTTACAGCCCTAGTGTAACGCAAGAGTTATGTTGTTTGTTGAGCTGTGGAGCGCGTTGTCTGATGAGAAATGCCTCTAGTATCCAGAGCCGTGTTCTGTTGTGTTGTGTTTTGATGATGGTCGTGTTTTCAGTCAGAAGTTTTCTAGTGATAGTTGTCTGGTGTGCTTGCGTCATGTGTTGTTTTGGTGCCCCGTCTCTAAGGTGCATAGTGAGACGCCTTGACAGTGATGTGGTTGTAGCGCCAATGTAGTTTATTTCACGAAACCTACAATCTTCGTATGGACATGAAAATTCGTAAACTACATTGGTGCGTTTGAGCTTGTCTTTGTTGTCTTGCATGTTTCGAATGAGAAGGCTGCTTGTTTTGCAGTTTTTGTAAAAGATGATGAGTTTTTGTTGGTCAGTGGCATTTGTACAGGTTATGTTTTCCGAGACAATTTCTTTGATGACTTTTTCGTCTACTTTGTACGAGGGAGACATGTGGTTACGATAATAAAGCGTAATGCTATGTCTGGAACGCTCTTTTGGGGTCATCTTTTTGTTTGTCTCTCTATCAAGATGCTGTTTAATTTCTTCGTCTACTTCCCTATTGGAAAAGCCATTGTTGACCAAGATTTGTTTCAGCCTTTCAAATTCCACGTGTAGCAGTTCCCAAGAGGAACAGTTTTTGACCGCTCTCTTGATGAAGGCTCTGATAACGCTTGTTTTGTATCTCGCTGGGCACTCACTTTTGCCATTGAGACATTTTCCAGAGTCTGTGGGTTTCCTGTATACTGATGATTCAAAGTTCATTCCTCTTACGTTAACCATGATATCTAGGAAATGTAACTTGTTTTCAACACTAAGCTCGTAAGTAAACTTGAGCACTGAGCTTGTTACCGCAGCAGCCGCAGAGGGCGCTGGCGAGCCATTGTAGAGGGCACCACCGTCCAGTCATGGCCTCGGTTGTGCCGTAAGATATCAGCTGATCGTTACGTGGCTAACAGCTGATCGATGCGCAGAGCCCAGAGGTCAAACGGGTCAAGCGGCGCAATGGAGGAATGGTGTTGTAAGTGTCTTTTATTATTATTTATATTGATTTATGTGTCGTTTTGTATTCATTTAACATCTGCTTATTTTCTGGCTTCTAATATCGACTGTTTTCTTTCAGAATTACGTACGAATATACAGCTACAAACTGACTGTCTCGAACAATCGATCACTGCGCCGAATTAAGACGAGCACAGACAAAGACGCTGTAACAGTAATTAACACCAAATTAACTGTAGCATAGTTATTGATATCAACAATTGTAGCAGTAAATAGGCCTCAATGGGCACAACTAACCACAAGTAGGGGAAGTATTTTAATTGATAAATCCCAAAACTGATGAAAACTGTAGATTGCAAATGATATGTATTTCAAATACATACAGCCATTCCTACCAGCCGGCTATAGTGTCAAGTCAACTGATGAATTCGTTGATATCTTACGAACCAAACGTCCAAATGGAATTTTAGCGTCAATAGACGTACAGAGCCTTTTCACAAACGTCACCGTGAATGAAACAATCAACATTATCTTAGATAAAGTTTACAACAATCCGAACATTGCGCCCCTTAAACTTTCTAAAAGCACTCTAGAAAAACTGCTAATCGCATGCACTACTGAATCTCCCTTCCGTGGACCCGATGGACAGCTGTACCGTCAAAAGGATGGCATAGCGATGGGCTCCCCACTAGGACCCCTTTTTGCAAACTTTTATATGGCTGAGATCGAAAGCAAGGTTCTCAGCGACGAAAGCATTCGCCCACATATATACTGAAGATATGTCGACGACATTTTTGTTGATGTTAGGGACGTAGACCACCTTAATAAAGATATTATAGAGAAAATGGAGACAAGCTCAGTGCTCAAGTTTACTTACGAACTTACAGGGTGTCCCATAAGTTCCTTCTCACCTAAATTTTTCTTTTAGAGGCTCTCTTATTTAAAGCCACGCTTAATTTATTTTGTAACTGAGCTTTTGGGGTTGCCATGGCAACTGTGAATGTGCTCCACGGTAACTAATTCGTCTAGACAAAATATTTTTTGCCAGAGAGTTCACTTCCTGTGGAGACGGCTTACGCCGCAACATAGAGGTCTCCGATACGGGAACGTCTCGGTATTTAGTTCGCACTGGGCCATTCACAACGGTTGAGGGTGATTGAGGCCATCCAGTATGTAGCCAATGTCTGTCGCTAACTGGACGCACAGTCAACAAGTGACGCCGATGATTTGTCGGGAGTCAATCGCTGCAAGTTTATGCTCTTTTTTTGTCAGCTTTCACGAGTGAGCCATGTGGCCAAAACTGTGTGGCGCCAAAATGGCCGTCAAAAAGGTCTTAGGGTTAGAAAGTTGGTAAACATGCTTTTCAGGATGCATTACCAGCTGTCTAAGAGTATCATTTCAGGGTACCTAACTCAAGGTGACTTCAGCTCTACTTACCGGAGGGCTCAAAACAGTCAAAAACGTCTTAAAATGGCCAAACATGTGTTTCGTTATGCCTGAGGCTAACAAAACTGGAGGGCCGATGACATCAATGTGGTCATCTGGACTACCTAGTCCGTGCTCGAGATAAAACACCCGTCCAAACCCCAAAACGGTCCCATATGGGCGACGGAAAAGGCCTTTGTGTCATCCTGCTTTATTCCTATGCAAAAGGCCACGGTCACGGTAATGTGGGGTAATATGCGTCCAGACACTGATCACGTTGCGATTGATACTCCAGAAACAGTCTTGGGACGCAGAATGCTTCTCCAAGAAGATCTAGGAGGAGTTTCAGCTTTCTAGCTTAACTCTAACCGCAAGTATGACCACATTTTTTTAGGAGAAAATGGCATCCGGGAGGTCGTAGGCCCATCTTCAAGCAAGACAGTGCATCAGTGCACAGGTCAAGCAAAGCTTAGAAGCAGTGCCAGGAGACTGTGATAGGCGTCTGTGGCAAGATCACATCCCAGGCAACTCATCGGATCCAAATTTCATAAAAATGTGTTGGGAATATTGAAATCGAGGCTCGTCAAAGCGAAGCGGTGTTCCAGCATTGAGGAGCTCACGGCCCATGCCAAGTCGGTCTGGGCTAACTTCAAGCCTGCTATACTGCCAAAAATGCCGGTTGGCATGTCGCAGCATGTATTCATGTGTTTGCCTATGAAATGGGGAGCACATTGAGGGATTATAAACATATTAAAACGCAATGTACTCTGTTTTACATGCAAATATAAGGTGAGAACGAACTTATGGGACACCCTGTAGTGTTGAAAACAAATTACCTTTCCTAGATATCATGGTTAACGTAAGAGGAATGAACTTTGAATCATTAGTATACAGGAAACCCACAGACTCTGGAAAATGTCTCAATGGCAAAAGTGAGTGCCCAGCGAGATACAAAACAAGCGTTATCAGAGCCTTCATCAAGAGAGAGGTCAAAAACTGTTCCTCTTGGGAACTGCTACACGTGGAATTTGAAAGGCTGAAACAAATCTTGGTCAACAATGGCTTTTCCAATAGGGAAGTAGACGAAGAAATTAAACAGCATCTTGATAGAGAGACAAACAAAAAGATGACCCCAAAAGAGCGTTCCAGAAATAGCATTACGCTTTATTATCGTAACCACATGTCTCCCTCGTACAAAGTAGACGAAAAAGTCATCAAAGAAATTGTCTCGGAAAACATAACCTGTACAAATGCCACTGGGCACTGACCAACTGAAACTCATCATCTTTTACAAAAACTGCAAAACAAGCAGCCTTCTCATTCGAAAAAAAAACATGCAAGACAACAAAGACAAGCTCAAACGCACCAATGTAGTTTACGAATTTTCATGTCCATACGAAGATTGTAGGCTTCGTGAAATAAACTACATTGGCGCTACAACCACATCACTGTCAAGGCGTCTCACTATGCACCTTAGAGACGGGGCACCAAAACAACACATGACGCAAGCACACCAGACAACTATCACTAGAAAACTTCTGACTGAAAACACGACCATCATCAAAACACAACACAACAGAACACGGCTCTGGATACTAGAGGCATTACTCATCAGACAACGCGCTCCACAGCTAAACAAACAACATAACTCTTGCGTTACACTAGGGCTGTAAAGACGTTTACATGTAGTGAGGAAGATGTACTCATGTCGTGACAGCTTGTATTCGCCTGATGTAACATTCTTTTGATCGACCTGATTTATTCGATGAATGTGAAGTGTACTTTATGTGGGACGCAACTACCGTAGCAAGACCCTGCCAAAACTCACATGATAATTTGCATTTAACATATTTCTCAAATGATGTCCGATGAAAATGTTTACACTTGTCATACGTGAATGTGTTATGTTTGAAAATGGTTTACTGGAATAAACCGAAACGTCACTTATAACCAATTAACTTGACATTGATGAGCAACTTTGGAGAATTAATTTTTAACTTACCTTCTGAAACCAAGAAACTCATTCGAACAATCGAACGAATTAACCGGAAACTTGCAAAAACTCAATGCTCCTTGGTCTTCAACGAAACCTATATATAATATATATATATATATATATATATATATATATATATATATATATATATATATATATATATATATATATATATATATATATATATATATATATATATATATATATATATATATATATATATATATATATATATATATATATATATATATATATATATATATATATATATATAATATATATATATATATATATATATATATATATATATATATATATATATCAGGGATGCGGAGCCGTGGAAATTTCAGACGGCTCCGGCTCCGGCTCCGGCTCCGGAGAAAAAAAAATCGGCTCCGGCTCCGGCTCCGGCTCCGGGTGAAATGTCAAGGCGGCTCCGGCTCCGGCTCCGGCTCCGAGTAAAATGATCCGGCTCCGGCGGCTCCGGCTCCGGTGGCTCCGGCTCCGGCTTCTACTCAGTACACCCCTACGCGATCAATAAAATACGGGTGGAAGAAAAGAGGCGATGGGATTGGTACACGCTGCTTCTGTATTTGTATAACAAGGCTATTTTGAATACCACATTGTTTTACGCCTTGTACTGTCAAACCGAATTAGGTAAATAATTGTTTCCTGTTCTACTGTTATATATGTTTCCTCTTAAGAAAAGGAGCCGGAGTCGCCCCCTTTTTTGACGGCTCCGGCTCCGGCTCCGGCTCCGGGCTATATTGTTTCACGGCTCCGGCTCCGGCTCCGGCTCCGGGCAAAATATGACGGCTCCGGCGGCTCCGGCTCCGGCTCCGGCTCCGGCTCCGCATCCCTGATATATATATATATATATATATATATATATATATATATATATATATATATATATATATATATATATATATATATATATATATATATATATATATATATATATATATATATATATATATATATATATATATATATATATATATATATATATATATATATATATATATATATATATATATATATATATATATATATATATATATATATGCTACAGCAGCTTTCCCGTTAATCAACTTCCTGTTGAGTGACTCAATCTGCCGAACAATCTTTTTATGTTCTTCGGTATGTTCAAATAAGATGTTACCGATGCTCATAATAATAAGTACTTTTAGAAATGACATTTAAATGACCTTATCGCTCGACGCGTTTCGTATATTCCCTATACATTTTCAAGAACAAAGGTCAAATTATTTTTAGGTCGCTCGACGAAGTTTGAAATTATATCACAGCGCTCGTGAATGGCTATCATAGGTATTTTTAGTAGCGGGCATTAACATGCATAATATCTAAACTAAATCACGCATCTTAAATGTGATAAAATAAACCAGTAAAACGCCTTTTGGGCGAAGAACGAACGAGCGAGATAGTGAGCCCTGCACGTGCGCAAGGGCGAGAGGGTACTTCCAACGGGCTTGTGCAAAGCACCCTTCTAACCGGTCGCTAGCGGTGTGCCAAATTTGAACGCAATCGGCCCAGCCGTTCCGGAGATCTGGAAGCGGCATTCTGCACGTGCGCACGTGCAAAAGAGGTCCAAACTGACTTCTGCACGGCACCCTACTAACTGGTCCCCAACCGTGTACCAAATTTGAGCGCAATCGGCCCAGCCGTTCTTGAGATCTGGGAGCGCCCCCTGCACGTGCGCACGTGCAGT